TGCATGGTGACAGGCTGGTCATCACCCAACACTTTTGTGAGGTTTTATAGCTTAGATGTGTCGTCACTTGCCTCACATGTACTGTCTGTGCGAGCAGCGCAGCTGCCTACCCAGTCTCAGTTATGAGCTGAGCTACATGCCTCAGTGGTTTCAACCAGGTCGTATACACCCCTGTACTGATGTACCACCAATTCAATGCTGTCTCTATCAGCTTATCAGATTGTAATGATATAGTTCATCACGTTTTTTATTATTTGTGATTACTATCATACTCTACTCATTTGAGCACTGGTTTGGCCGTTGCATCATTACACATGATTTCGTTGAAATTAACAAACTTCCTTCAACTAATTTATGTGATGGCGCCAGCGTTTTTGGTTTTGGTTGGATTTTGCTGTTGTAGGCTGTAAGGACCTTTGAAATAACTGAAATAATTTGGCGAAGTGATATGGACATGTAATGCAGGAGCCCTGCCTGGATTTGTCATACTTTATCAACGTTTCTCAACTTCCACACAATTTCTTCTCGCCCATGTTTGATCATTAATAAACATAAGGAGTGGTACTTCCGTCCAATTAAATTTTAGTGTGGTTGGAGTGTGACCTTGACGCCGTAGAATAAAAAACAAATGACCAACTTAAATAGTGTTGCTTGTCACAATCGGCTGGTAAGTTTATTTTTAATAATAATACCTGAGCTGAATAAATAATATTTAATAAGTAGCCGAGCTAACATGGACTGTGTATCTGTTGGATATTATAACGATGGAACTCTCAACTTCTCGTATACGTGGATCTAATGTGAAAACTGTAAATTGATGGCATTCTGCTTTTAATATTGTGTCATTATTTTTAATATCATTGTAATTTTTCTTTTTTCAAGGTCTACATTGTATTTCATTTTTTGAAGTCTACCAGCGGTGGGATGGGATGGGTTCTAGATTTGCACATTTGCTTTTTGTTTTATATTACTGTTTCTACTCGGTCTAAAAACAAAAAGAAGAAAATTCAATAAACAATTGTTAAAAAAAATAAAAAATAAGTAGCCGAGCTGAAATCCCAATACTTCACTCTTTTTCTCTTCTCCACGGGCTAATTAATTGCTCTCCACAACTGAACTTTCACACTATTTGCCTGGCAGGCAACATCAAGTCTGCACACTGTACAGGCTATGGGTGTGTGTGCACATTCATCACACAGAATAAGGCTCATTAAACATGGCGCGTGGTACCACAGAGAGCAATTAGTCTATAATGCAGCTTCCACCTGCCATTCTTCTATGCCATACTATAAGCAGGTAAAACTAATTGCTAACATCTAATATCAAATCGAACTGATGATAGCATTTATTTTGTATCCTATTATCTAGTGCACCCGAGTCAGTTTGGAAGGTTAACGTTCAACATGTGGCTCATGCTTATAAGATACAAGGATTCATGTACCTGCGTTCAGACTTGTCACATTTAAATTGAATCAATGGGCAGTGAAACCTCTACTTCCTTTCCATTTCTTCGAGAAAACTTGGAAGCGAGAAAAAAAGTGAGAGGACTGGGGAAAATTAATTCTGAAATAGGGGAGAATTATTGCCCCCCTGAGGCCCTGCCCCCCTTCACTTTTCTCCTGAAATCCATTTGGCCTGGTACCCCCATTAGGCTGGCTGTCAGGCAGTGGATGCTGGGATGGGCGGCTGTGTAGAGAAAGGCAGGAACGGAATGAATTTACCCGGTCATGTAGAGCGGGTGTCAGAGACAGACTCAGCCAGCAATCTATCAGTGGCACCAGCGTCCTGTCAGAGGGGGGAGGGCAGAGAGGAAGAGACACATTGGGTCATCGGAGCATCTTCATTCTCTAGCGGTTCACGTGCCGTGGGGAGATGGTAAGCAAGGGGGTCTGTGGAGAAGGTTTAAGTGTGCACATTTTCACAATGTATACTTTCTTAATAGGCCTGCTGATGGGAAACTAGTGAATGAAGGCAGGACAGAGTCCAATTATCCCGTATGGTGGGCGCTTTTTAAGCAAGCCAGCTAACCTTTGACCGCTTTGTCTTTGCCCTCAGGGCATACAGCTCTCGAACATACATGCAGCCCATCTGAGAGGCCTGAGAAAACATGCACTCACCAGAATCTAATTGATTTCATTACTTCGTCTTGTCAATGCCTAGAGTTGGCATGCTATGCCTATTAACATGGTGTATACATCTTGTGCTGACTGTCTTCCACATTCATTAAGGCAATGAATTCCCTGAAAAAAGCTCATGACAGGTGGATGAGCAAATACCTAAATAACTGTCCATTAGGGATCCATTTAACAGGGGAAATGGAGCTGAGAGTGAATTCAACACTTTTTTTTTTTTTTTAAATCTGCTTCCGTTTCAACATTTAACAGATTCAAATTTAACTGGACCATGGAAAATGCCACCTACTTTTCTTATGGCAGAAGTGTTTTGTAGAGCTTAGATACACCTGTACTCAATAATATACTACAGTATAGTAAGTACAAGAAGAAATATACTTTTCTATATTTATTGTTTTACTTCTGGAGATGTGCACTATACTATTGATTCAGCAAGCAATGAAAGACGGGTATTTTATATTGGTTTTGAAAAGTCATTTTGGCAATTTCATTTAAATTTTGTCAGTTCTATATTTAAACAAGTTCTGTTGAATGCCACACTACGGAGCATTTGCTGCTAGCAATATCTGTTTGGTAGCTCTATCTGTATCAAATTCATGTCTCACACTCAGTGAATAAATACAAACCACATGCTGAGTTACTTAAAAAATCTTTATTATTCATAAGGTGGAATTAACAACAAACATGCGTCTTAACACAATAAAAATGTTAAGATATTGCACTGGTTTAACTCTAGCAGTTTTTTTTCCTTTGCACAAACTTGTGTCTGTACAACCACATTGTCTCCTTTAGTCTTGGACAAAGCATGATTGAAACATGGGCAGTGCCCTAAACCCATAACACCACTGTATCACCATTGACTCCCTTGTAACTGAGTGTCAAGTCTTAAAATACACACAATATCTAGTCATTGTCCCATTCCATCTATGTGTCATGTCTAAGGCAGTGGCCATTGCACACCAAGTAACTTCAATTCTTTTCATTTTAAAGACACTCAGAACACCAGACTTAAAAATATTTACATAAAAGTAAACCATCTCATCTGTGCTGCCATTTGGGACAAACACAAACACATACAGACATTAGAAGAGGGCAGAGGTTGGACATAGAGTCTATGTGTGTGTTTATGGTAGGCAGATATAAGTAATGCGTGTATGTGTGCTCCAAAGGTTTTTCATTCATAAAAAGCCAAGCTATATATACCACAGGTGAGAGGTGGCGGGTAAATTTGCTCTAGACAGTGTGTGAGATTACATTTCACTAGTGCGTGCATGGTGGCATGTGGCTGCAGGACATTGATGAATGACCACTGCAGGCATTCTGACACCCGACTTCACCTCAACAAATAGCCCAACCATCATCATCATCCCCATTATGTACATGAGAAGGCAGTTAGCGCTCACTTTCACAGCCCACGGCAGCTCACGACTTTAGAAAGAGATGAATTTCGCACATTTACACACTTAATTCAGAAAACTGTTTTCCTTTTTTTGTTAAAAGCACAATGGGTAGAATGTGAAGCAGGTCATCAAAGACTACATGTAAAAAAAATTGTGAAAAACTAAGTACTAGGCTTATTGAGTGAATGCGACTTTACACTTTCATAATGTCATAATGTCTTTACACCCTGTAAAATCTCAAATGCAATGCAGCCAGAAAGGAAATCACTAGTGGTCTGCCATCAACTAAGCTACAAAATGTGCCTGAGCACTCACACTACACATGACACATTATTTAGACATAATGCACTAGTGTGCTGTTTACAAATGATCTCTCAAAGCACATGTAAACATTCAAGGGCAGTTTCTATAAGCCCTTCAAATTTAGTTTAAATGGGAGATTCAAGTTTGGGTATGAGAATGATAACTTTGGAGTGGGATTCAGTTGTAGGTCATCACTTGTGGACATAATCGTTAAGCCTTGGTCTTTTTTTTAATAACTGTGAATTTATAGCTTTGCCACTAGTGTGTAGGATTGATAAGTGTTCTCTAGACGCAACAGGAAAAATACTCTATTAAACCTGACTGCCCACAGATGCATTTCCAACTTCATCCACATGCCATTCTCGTTACAAGTGCATTTTTTTCACTGATCATGGTGCTCGCTCTGGTTAATTAGGTTCGTCAGGAATTGAGCTTCAAGCTGCAATGCGATCAACAGCTCCATTCCTTAAAGAAGTGTAAATGTGCAAGATATCCATTCACATTTCATATGGACAAAACATGAATAAGGGTATAGCATAACTGTACATACCATCATCATGTGACTCCAATCACAATCAGTTATAAAGACCAACTAAAAACATGTTAATTTTCCATATAGGCAGGGCCAAAAGTAGGGCAGGAGTGTGTTGGAAAGAGATTGACTTGCTGTGAGCACCTAGACCTTTTATACCAGGCAAGTGTTGAAATTTGAACAATGAGAGTAAAAAAAAGTGGTAAACTGAGTGGAAACAGAATACAGACAACTCGTTTTGATTATAAATGTAAAATGTGGTTAAAACATTAAAAGTTCCACAGGTTAACCTTTAAATACATTATGGTGTTAACACATTGTTATGTCAAGATAATATGACAACGTACCACAGTCTCACTTACTGGTCAAACCCCTCAAGACCCCAACCAAGTCTGGGATCTAATTGGATACTGTATTTATTGGTTTTCATATTATTGACACACAAAATAAAAATACATCTTTGCCCGGTATATGACAAAGGGCTGAATCAGACAGAGCTGATATGGCAAAGATATGACACCAATCAAAAACACACTCCCATTGTTTAGGGCATAAAACTAACAAATAACAGACTTTTTTAAAAATATACATTATATAAGAACCCACACAAACACACACTCAAACATGCTTCTGTACACAGGCACACACGCACACACACACAAACTCCAGATACAAGTCTGCCGAAACAAAAAAAAAAGCAAACAAATATACAGAGACAACAGCTAATTGGTCCAGATATTAAAAGAGAAAGAGAAAATAAAACAGGCAAGCTGAAGAAGAAATAAAATGGTCCGCTTGAACAGAGACAAAACCAAACACGGTCTAGACATAATGATGTGCAAGTTACAAGTAATGTCTTTAGCTAAGCTATGTACCTTGACATAACTTTAGTGGGATGTGAATGATGGCCAAAAATCACATGATTTATTATACAGAGTAATTCCAAATCATTTCTAATAACATCTTTAATTCTGATTGGATGTAATTCATGCAATTATTGGCCACCATTCTTCTGCATTATACATCCAAATTTCAGCTACCATATACACATTACATTAGTGACGGCTGTGCCATAGGGAAAATCTCAAGTTGAATTTTCATAGACACATCACACAGCTGTTCGACACAATTAAAAGCTGAAACAAGTGCAAGTGAGAAAAGAAGGAAAACACAGTTTGGTTTCTCTATATATTACTTATTCTTTATACTACAGGTGTGATGAAATAAACTTTGTGTGTTTGTGAAAATTGCTCAGGATACGCTACTCTTATTGCTGCGATATGTCTTCCTCTAAAAATGAACAGGCAGAAAGAAATACGTGAAATGTTGAGATGTTGCTTTAAGGCACAACTATACCTACTACAAGAGAAGATTCTTAAAGTAATATAAGGATAATATGAAGAGGTAATATACTGTAAGTGGACACGGTTTCTGTCTCTCAGGGCCCAGACCCAAGCATTTTTCTAGGCTTTCTAGCTGCTGAGAAAAATACTTTAAAAGGAGGAACAAGAAAAGCAAAACAATTCGAAGCAATTCAATTATTTAGTGAATGGCAGAGCATAAAACATTTTGAAATAAAGCTGTTGGGCTCATCTGTAAACACCTCCATCTCTTCCTCTGTCTTATCTTTCCACAATCTTTTCATATGAATACTGACATTAAACAGGACAACTGCCATGTGTTACAGTGTGTATCTGTCAGTCATAGGCAATTTAAATTAAAGCTGGAGAAAATGGGTCTTTCTGCAAGGCTGCTACGTTGTCTTGTTGGATTTGTCTCTTGAAATAGTGGAACTAGACTTTGCCTGGGCCTGAGATTGTGCTTCAGACCTTGGCCTTGGTGTGGTGCCACTTCGCGGAGTCCCTGGTTTCTCCTGATGTTCTTCCCCGGCTTGGGAGTTTGGAGCAGTTGGCCTTTTGGAAGTCCCTTGGACCTCCAAAGATCTCTGAGAAGTTGAGGCTGGCTCAGATTTGGATGACGTTTGTTTAGAGGGAGATTCAGTCAGCCGTTGAGACTGGGAGCCAGAAGCAGCAGACGGACTCAAAGAGTCAGGAGAATCAGGACGTTCCAGGCAACATTCTTTTATTTTCGGGTGGGTGGGATCTGTCTGGGGATGCTGGTCCTTTGTCCGCTCTGAGGCCTCTTTAGTACCTGGGATGTTGAGTTTGACAGGGCCAAGCACACTCTTAGCCACTGTGGCCAGTTGAGACACAACTTTGTCCATTCCGCTCTCAGAGGCAGTGGATGGAGAGGCAGCTGCAGCCTGTCTGCGGTTGTCAGCCTCCTTCATCTCCTTTGTGATGCCTCCGGTTGGTGTGGTAGCAACAGGGATATCCCTCGTCACTCCAGAAGCAGTGCTAGGATCCATTTTACCACTGGTTTTGGACCTGGGCTCAGAAGTTTTGGGGGTCCTCTGGGGATCCAACGGAGGTGTGGTGGGTTTGATGAATGGGTCTTTGCTAACAGAGGTAAAGGCGCTACCATGGGTGGAAAAGGTGCTGGACAGAGGGCTGAGTTGAGGTGGAGAAGGCCTAACACTGGATTGAGAGTCCTGTGCCTTTAAGTCTTTCTTTTTCGACTCTTCAGCTAGTGTTGAACTGGAGTCTTGGGCCATAATAGAGGTTGTAGGATTCTGTTCTGGGGGCTTGACTGCAGCTTGCATTGACGGTGAGGTTGAAGTTTGTGTCTGAGATTGAGTGGTACTTTGGCTTTGTATCTGCAGTCCTCGGCTGGGCTGAGGTAAGCCTGGGGGTGCAACCATTGAGGGCGTCAGTCCCAGTGTTGGTGGAGCTGCTGGTCCCATCCTGATGGTATGGGGAGAGGCCATTACAGTTGTAGGCCTCAAGACATGGCTAGGAGGAACATAGCTTGTCCTGCGTCCATCTTGGCTATCTTCCGACCCTTCGTCTGTCTCATCCTCTGAGGAGTCCACCTCGTGGATGGCATCCTGCTTTTGAAGAGACTCGCGGCGCTCAGCTCGATCCTGGCGTATGGCAGACAGCTTGTCTTTCAGTTTACTCTTCCCAGGAACAAGTCCCAGAGTTCCAGTTCCAGACTCAGGACCTTCTTGCCTGCCCAGTTTACGAACTGAAGGCTGCAGGCTGCCCTTTTCTGCAGGGGACACTCTTCCTCCCATTAGATTCTCACTGGCTGACTCCTGCAGGCTCTGTAGACTGGGGTCTCGCTGCATCATCTCTTTTTTAAAATCTGAATGTGAGGTATCAAGACTGTGTTTGCGGCTGGCACCAACTGGTAGCTTTTTATCAGCAGTAGAGGATGGAGAAGGAGACGAGGATGAAGAAGAAAGAGAGGCTGCGAGCTTCTCAGCTGATTGGACACGTTTGAGCAGAGGAGAGCGAGGAGGGTCTGCACTCTTTGGGCGGGATATCTGTCTTACTAATGGAGGTGAAGAGTGGAGTTT